GTTGAATAAAGACACAGGATGATCAAGTGCAGTTTATTTAATTAAGACTAGATGAACTGCAGATATATCTAGAAAAAAAAGTAACTACCTAAGGTCATTACAAAAAAAAAGGAATGGTCACTGTGGGTGTTTGTCTAGATAGATATTTCCCAAAGTGCCTATTAAGCACTAAAAATCCATGAGGGTGTGGCATAGAGGGCAGAGACAATACACTGAATGTTCAGGGCATACACATTTATAAGAAAAAGCCCACTTCAATAATATATATATGTGTATGAATACGTGACTTTTTCACATTATCCATGGAGGAGGCTCTGGAAAGAGCTGAGATAAAAGGTCTGAAAGGCTACAAGATTAGGACATATTCTTTCTTCCTCACATTTACTGACTGCTTATCTTAGAGTTATCAGAATATTGGTTGTAAAAAAGGATATCTCATATATGGGTTTACACCTGTACATCACCATGGATCAAAGGATTAAAACTCCCAGAGGTCTCAGTCCCATCAGAGCTCCCCAGAGGTCAAACAGCAGGGGGAGAACTTTCCTGAAGAGATTAGTAAGTGGATTTCTTTGGAGATAGTGACTGCTCTGCTGTGAGTTTCTTTCCGAACTCCCTTTGGGACAGTGCTATGGGAGGGCTAATTTAAACACTTGACCTGTCAGGAGAGCTTCAAAAATCCACGTTGAAATAAGCCCACATAGTTTGGAGAGATCTGTCTGGGGTTTGAATCACATGTGAGAACATGGTAATAGCCTGTGGACACTGGGGCCTGATTCCTGCCAAGGAATTGGAGGAGGCCAGATACAGGTTCCTCATTGCTTTGGTGGAGAGGCAGTGGACTGCTGAGAGAGGGGCTAGGAGAGGCTGCAGGAGTGCTTCTTTGTGGATACCTGTGAGCCGTACGTGGGGCCAGCTTTCTTCATCTTGGGTCCTGTCCAAGAGTGCCACCTGCCAGAGCCAGAGCCCTCAACAGAAAGAGGCTGGAGATAACTACCAGATTCTCAGGGCCTCATCCAGGGAAGGGCAAGTGAGGGACTCAGCAGGGCTTACCTGAAGAGCCCAGAGGATCTCACATAGGAGGGGTCAGCTTTAATCATCTGCTAGACCCACCATCTGCTAGCTGAACCCATGTATCAGGCCACGTCCCTTCCCTTTACTGTCACCTTCTGTCTTCTACTGTGAAAACAAACAGCAGCACCTGGTCAGCTCATGATGGAAAGGAGAAGAGAGCTTCCTGCGCAAACCTGCCTTTCTTCCTCCTGGCTTTTGGCCCCAAAAAGTCCTGGGTGGGTGGATAAATTGAAGGTTCCTATGGCCAGGATTCTCACCTGGCCCTGGTCAGCTAGCTCACTACACATGTGTGGGAAATATGTTGCCATTGACTCTATATGAAGAGCTCTGCCCAGTGCTCTGGGCACAAAGTGGCACAGCTGCAAGGCTGCAGGAGAGCAGAGATGAGACTGGAGTGGTGGCAGCACTGAAGACAGAGACTGGACGGCTGGTGGGCGGGCGTGGAGGAATGAGCAGAGAGACCCAGAGGCAGAGACGGGCCTGCTGCATACAGACTTGCTCTACGTGGACGGGATCCTAGAGATTTACCTGCCACGGTGGGAATAAAGTTGGGTAGGACCTTTTCACCCCAAGAATGTTCTACTCTCATTTCTTTGGTCACAGTGAGTCCATAGTGACCTTGCCCGGGGCTGAAATCCATTGGCAAGACAGTGTGGGTGCAGAAAGATACAATTTTCTCAGAAAAGGTGACCCTCACTAAATAAAGTTAAGGTGGCAATTTTTTGGCGACAAAAAAATACAATCATTTTTGGTTATTTCTGAAATTGAGCTTGCTCAATATACCAGTTACAGAAACATGCAGTTTGCTGGTAATAAGAGCAGAGCATTTTGGGAGTACAGTTTAAATATCACCTGTCTCATACCATAAAGTCTCTATATTTGAGAAAAGAGAAAAATGTAGCTGTCTGAAAAGGAGTAGAACAGAAAATATGATAGCCCATGAAATCAGCAGCATACATAGCACTTCAAGTAAAAGTTTAATCTGCAATGTTACAGTATAAAAATCACACATTTTTTGGTCAAAGAGAAAATAATAATAATGACAATGATAATGCTGCTGCTGCTGCTGCTACTATACTTCTGGCAATTACTAGCACTGGCGTATCATGTAGCAACACTCATAATCAGAGGATCTTATGCTACTTCTTGGGATGACAGAAGTACTCAAGGTTGGGGATCCAGATTGCACAGCTATTCCCTAGGAAGGAAGAAGTAAATGACTCTGAAGTGGGCTGGATGACTTGCAGTAGACTAAATTGGATCAGTATGCTCACTTGAGCCAAAAAGTATGAGTTATGCAGAGACAGAAGAATGTTATGTCTGGGAGTGCATTCTGAAGCCAGATTAGGTGGGTTGAATACCAGTGCATTCTGAATGGCTGCTATATAAGGTATTAATTGGAGTCCAAGTCTTTTACATAAACAAAGATGTTATGAATGCATATATGGTGGGTGAAAATAATATCAATTTTGCAGGCATCCATGGCAGATGGTTCCAATATACCTAAAGACAAATATTAACTACGAAGATAATTAAGCAGTTCCTAAAAAAGTTAAGCAGAATTATTATATGATCTCACAATTCCATTCCTAGGTATATACCTAAAAGATTTGAAAAAGTAGGTACTCAAACAAACACATGTACACAAATGTTTATAGCAGCTCTGTTCACAATGGCCAGAGGTGGAAACAACTCAAATGTCCATCAACTGAGAAATAGATAAACAAAATGCGTCATTTCCATACAATAGAAACTAATCAGCCATAAAAAGGAATGAAGCACTGATATATGATACAATGTGGATAAACCTCAAAAACATTTAAAAGGTGATGTATTGTATGATTGCATTTATATGAAATATCCAGAATAGGGAAATCTATTGACAGTAAACTTATAGTTGTTTTGGGGGCTGGAGGGATGACCTAATGGGTAAAGGATTGAATTTTGGGGTGATGAAATGTCTTGGAAGTAGACAGAGGGGCTGATTGAACAATATTGTGCATGGACTAAATACCACTGAATTGTACATTTTAAAAGAGTTAATGGTGAATTTTATGTTATGACAATTTTACCTAAATCAAAAAATAATAATAAGGAAAAAAAAATTCTCTGGCCAAATCACAAAAGATGCTGTAAATTAGTCATATACCATGCAGAGCCGTCCTACAAGATTAAATTGAAAATCAGACACATATTGTTCATAAATGAAAAAAATTCAAAAAGATAGCATAAGGTCCTTAAGACCTGCTCTGAATTATGCTGACTGGAAAACGAGTACAATATTCTAGAACCAAACTACTTGACAGACCTTGGTTTGGAGATATAAAAAAATTATATTCTTTAAACAGCTGTTCTGATTAAATTGTTCCACATGTCAGAAAGAAACAAGGGTTTATCCCAGTATGTTTGCCCTATATTGAACACTTATAAGATCAAGAACTTGATGACTTGAATTATGGCAAACACCCTAACATCTTTGCTTATAAATAAATGTCTGTGATTATACAGTTGAGCAAATTGGGTGTCCAAATCAACCTTGGCTTATAAAGCAGCTCTAAAAAGCTAAGAAATGATGAATTCATGTATGTGCAATACAATGCTAATAAATGAAATCCTGGAAATCAAAGATTTGTTTGTTTTTAAGAAAATATGTAGTAAAGATGCAAACTTAAAGGGAGTGGGAAAAGAGAAACAGTGTGATGGAAATACATACCATGCTATAGTCTTATCCTAAATCTCCACAAATTTAGCCCAATTGCCCTTGAGTATATAATTTCCAAAGTCACTATTGTATCAAGTCTCTTTTCCCTTACTATGCACTTTGTGCTTTCCAATTTAATTGGAGGCTTTACTTTAAAATGAACTTCAAAGCAGTTTTGGTGGTTCATCTTTTCATTACTTCAGTAATAAAATACCAACTTGCTCACTGCAATAGTGGGTGGCAATGCAATTACATTCAAGGGAAATAAAGTATCTAGATTCCCTTTCTCCTATTGTGTGATTATAGTGTGGAAAACTTCTGTAAACATAACTGAAGCGATCTTCCACTGTTTTTTATAAGTAATTATGAGCCTAAGCTGTTATCACTCACCAGAAGTAGTCTACAACTATTTTAACCATTACTTTCAGAAACCCTCTTTAGCAGGGTGCATACTAAGTACTCTGTCATGTGCAACAGACCCCTCTTGTTATAAATTCTTCCTTCAGTTATAAAATATTCTTATTTAGCTGTGAGGAAGTTGCTAATGTTTGGTCAAGAGTATAACCACTGTCTAATTATAACTCAGCACATGAAAAGAAAACTCTAATGGAAAAAAATCATTGCACATACTCACCTTTTCTCTTTTTAAAAAAGTTTAAAACAGCAATTATTTTAATTAACACATTGTGCATACAAATGCATGATAACAGCTATTAATATGAATTTTTAAGACTAGAGGGTATGATGACTTATCTAGATATAAGGGCAACATATGTTCAGCTAAGCATATGGATTATAATATAAATTATGATTATAAAATACAGAAAGGCACAGAGGGACATGTGCAATGACTGCCTGCTCCATTTAATCAGCTAACATATTTTTCTAACACATCCTAGAGAAGGCTTTATATTAACTGTTGAAATATAATAGAAAATGAATTATGATGGTACCTTAAATCAGCTTCATACATTTTGAAACCTGCAGCTATTTTTTCTTTGAATGCAAATTCAGATTAAAAAAAATTATTCAAAGAGAAATTGGAAACAAAAGTTTTGAGGACCATTTTGAAGAAACCTCAAAATACCTAAACAGATCTTGTTTCCTGCTTTAAGTATTTTATCTCATTATATTTTTGATAGAGGGAATAGTTTAATTACCTTGAACACCATGAATTCAATTTACAAACTAGCTGGTTGAAGATGTTAGAGATAAAACAAATTACCTTCTCTTGATACTGCCGCCTTGAGGAATCCAAAGACTGAATTAAAGCTGTGGCGTGGCCAACGAACATGGCGTAGCAGGTGGCCCCAACAATCATGCTCAGCATGGTGATCCAGAGGTCAGACATGCTGACCGGGGCCTGGGCTCCGTACCCAATGCACAGCATGTGACTCATAGCTTTAAAAAGTGCATAGGAATACTGCTTCCCCCAAGAATCATTCTGGAACAGAAAAGAAAATAGACAAAGCGATTAGGACAGCAGAATAAAATGTGAGTATGACCTGAACAGAAAAGCATTATAAAATTGTAAGTATGGAGAAATCAACTTGTAATGGAGCATTTACACAGCTACTTCTCCTTAACTGCCCAATCAAATGACTTGATGTTTTTCAAAGCTTGCCTAGCTTGATGAAATAGAAGCAGTCTGCTGTTAATACATGCATTCCTTGTCACTTTCAGGTTTGCTGTTTTTAAGAAACAGTAAGAGATCCCACGTGTCCTTCATACAGTTTCACCCAATGTCAGTATCTTGCAGACTATATTACAATGTTACAACCAGAAAACTGAAATGGATACAATCCACCAATCTCATTCATATTTCACTTGTTTATATGTACTCATTTGTATAGTTTATGCAATTTTGTCACATTGTAGGTTTATGTATTCATCACCATAATCAAAATAAAGAACAATTCTATGACAGCAAAGATCCCTTATACTGTCTTTATACTGAATATGATGTTACATATAAATGTATGCATTGGTATTTTAATATTTCTTCTGACATTTCCTGTAACTTGCTGAGGTCATGCAAGAAACCAGAATAGTTCCATGATTTATATATAATCAAAATGATTTATGTATTCTATTCGTGTATTTTCAATTAAAAGGAAAATTTAATTTAAAAATTGTCTTCCTTTTTAATAATTGGCTCATTTAAAACTTCCTATGAAAACAGTGTTGCTTTCCATCAAATGTGGTAATATTTACATTTAATTTGTATTATAGGCTGGTGGATATTTACTCTGCAATGTTGCACCAGTTTTCAAAACTCACATTGTAAACTGCAAAGAATCTATATTTCCACATTTGCAGTGATTTTTGACAAAGTTCGCTGCTTGAGTGCTAAAGCACTATCTTGGAGTTTAAGTAGGAGATTTAACGTCTGTGTCCGTCCCTCAGAGATGGGCTCCAGGGACTGACAGGCAATGGGCCTCTCGCTGTACGTCCTTTCTCTGCCGGCACTGGGAGCCACTCCTACCTCCCTCGGTTGCCAGGGTCGCAGTTGCCCTTGCTAATCTGGTCCCTACTGGGACATAGAGTGCTGAGGAGTGCCAGGTCAGGTTGTCTCTGCTGTTGTGCCTGCAGGCCTGGGCCTGAATACGCACAGCTGCTACCCGCAGTTCTGCTGCACCTGTGCATGCTCCGCTGTCCCAGTGGACTTCACTTACAAAACATGAATTCAAAGATAAAATTACTGAGAATTTAAGACAGCAGCAGAGCATTAAACTGAGCACAGGGTCCTTCTGAAAGTGGGTCCCTACGCAATGGCTGGGCCACATAGCACACCTGTAAACCATCCCTGCCTTTGTCAAGTTAACTCTTGAATTGTCAGAAAAATTTCAAGTTATTTAGAAAATATATAAAATAGATGTGGACATTTTTGCTCCATTTTGATGGGGTCTTCCAAAACTAAGTTTATAGATTTAAATAATAGAACATGGTAAGATTTGAAAGCCTAACCTCATGAACTTTAGAACTGCACGTGGCTGCTGGCAAATAAAAACAATGAGCTCCATTTGGTTGAAGAGTTAAGTTTCTTAAAGTGAAATCATTGTTATTTACTTATAAAATGAGGCCATGTTGCCATATTAATCTATCTATATTTAACTACACACAAATGTACAAGTGAAATTCAATGTAAAGGGAAAAATATCTGTATATATTATACTAGTCAGGTAGTACAATGAACCCATGCACATGTTTTCATTTTGGGAAATGAACAAAATTCATGCCTTACATTTTTTGCATATATGAAATAAACCTAAGGAATAAACATGAATAAACATACAGGAATGAACCTAACATTCCCATAATTCAATGTGTTCTTTAAGAATCTTGAATGCACATGTTATTTAAAATAACATTTAAATTTCTGAAATTCACCCTAGTTATACACTGATATACTAATAATGAATTTATTATAAACCATACTATAAACTAAATTAAGTCTTTAATCCCTATGATCCATACAAAGAATGGATACAAAGAAAATAAGCTTCATCTGTTTCTGACTGGCTTTAAATATCTTTGGGTTCTATCAGAACTCCAGGTATTCACCTGTCATGGCAACTTCCATCTGTTATATGATGATTTTTCATGTGCCTGCATCTCTTCATAGATCAAGGCTGGGGCCATGTCTCACTGATCATGTTCTAGAGTCGAAATTACATGAGTCAGAGGAGACACTGAACATTTTTTATTGTCAAAAGAAAGAGAAAATGAATAAATTTTGACTATGATGTTAAATCTAATATAAGATTTCCTCTCCTTACACAGGGGTATAGAGAAGACATGTTGTTAAGGCATCTTGATAGACTTAAATATAATGGGAATAATTCAAGTCAAATGAATGTCCAGTGAAGACTGCACTTTAATTCTGATCATATTGTTTTTTCTTTGTTTTCAAGGGGAACCAGTATGTGGAACTGGAGAAGAGAGTTTCAGTTTCCTAAGGTAATGCAGTTAGTTAGCTAAATTATTTTATATAAGAACATATGTTTATGTTCACTTTCATTTATATCCTTAGGCACACAACACATGCACAGAGTTTTAAATGACTTGAAATAAGTATCTTTCATATACGATTTTTGATTCTTTAAAATCAAGAACAACTTTTCTCTTTGTTTTATCCATGTCTCCCTCCCTTTCTCTTCACCTACAACTTCTCAAAACCAGGTATGCATTTCTCTTTACCTTTCTTCATTTCGATATAATCACACACACACACATGGATTCTGGCTTTTTTTTCCTACAGAAATGCAACCAATCATTTATACTTCTCTGAATATTGCTTCTATCACAGAAAAATTCCTCCAAATAATGTTGTGTTCATATACCTATGTAATAACCCATTGTTGATACTGTTATAGTTAGTTCACCCATTTTTCTATTGTTTTCCAGTTTTTGCCCCTCCAAACTATTCTGCAATAAACAACCTTATACATACAACCTTTATTTCTGTCAATCAGATTACCAGGAGTGTTTTGGGTCAAAGAGTAAAGTTTTTAATTTGACTTTAAAATATACTGCAACACAGTTTCACAGTCTGTAACTTTTCTGAAAACAAGTCTCATCTTCTATAATAAGAAATAGTAGTCCTCTATAGAGAGAAATTGTATAGTGAGAAATTCTCTATAGTGAGAAATTGTAACTTTTATTTGCATTTCCCTAGACAAGCAAAGTTGAGAAGGTATTCATATACTTATTAACAAATGGACTTTCTCATTTTTGATGAACATCTTATTTTTTCCTTATTTGTAATATATATTGAAGACTAGATATCAATTCATTAACCACTTGATATTTATTCCTAACTTACTATATGCCTATTTGCCTTTTAATGATAGAATTTGCCATACAAAAATTTTGATTATTTTATGAAGAAAAATAAATCCATAATTTCCTTGAGAGCTGCTGGATTTCCTGTACTGGTTAAAAAGATCTCCCTAAATCTGAGATTATTCATACGTCCTAAACATTTTTAGATATTATTTGTACATTTAGTTATATTAAATCTTTAACCTGACTTTTTTTTGTATATGAAATGAAGTTCACATTTTATTTCATTCTAAAAGGATTGTCTCTTGAGCCAGCATATAACTTCTAATGAACAATCTGATCCCCACTGACATAAAAATACCTTCTTTGTTATTTTCATTTCGATATAATCACACACACACACATGGATTCTGGCTTTTTTTTCCTACAGAAATGCAACCAATCATTTATACTTCTCTGAATATTGCTTCTATCACAGAAAAATTCCTCCAAATAATGTTGTGTTCATATACCTATGCAATAACCCATTGTTGATACTGTTATAGTTAGTTCACCCATTTTTCTATTGTTTTCCAGTTTTTGCCCCTCCAAACTATTCTGCAATAAACAACCTTATACATACAACCTTTATTTCTGTCAATCAGATTACCAGGAGTGTTTTGGGTCAAAGAGTAAAGTTTTTAATTTGACTTTAAAATATACTGCAACACAGTTTCACAGTCTGTAACTTTTCTGAAAACAAGTCTCATCTTCTATAATAAGAAATAGTAGTCCTCTATAGAGAGAAATTGTATAGTGAGAAATTCTCTATAGTGAGAAATTGTAACTTTTATTTGCATTTCCCTAGACAAGCAAAGTTGAGAAGGTATTCATATACTTATTAACAAATGGACTTTCTCATTTTTGATGAACATCTTATTTTTTCCTTATTTGTAATATATATTGAAGACTAGATATCAATTCATTAACCACTTGATATTTATTCCTAACTTACTATATGCCTATTTGCCTTTTAATGATAGAATTTGCCATACAAAAATTTTGATTATTTTATGAAGAAAAATAAATCCATAATTTCCTTGAGAGCTGCTGGATTTCCTGTACTGGTTAAAAAGATCTCCCTAAATCTGAGATTATTCATACGTCCTAAACATTTTTAGATATTATTTGTACATTTAGTTATATTAAATCTTTAACCTGACTTTTTTTTGTATATGAAATGAAGTTCACATTTTATTTCATTCTAAAAGGATTGTCTCTTGAGCCAGCATATAACTTCTAATGAACAATCTGATCCCCACTGACATAAAAATACCTTCTTTGTTATGTATTTTCTCTAAATATTTTGTCATTTGTTTCTGGGCTCAGTATCAGTAGAACTACTGATCTATTTGATTATTTCTATGCTAATGCCATTCGGCTTTAAATTACAGTGACTTTATAATGTATTTTAATATGTATATAAAGCAAAAACCTCTCAATTTCAAAAGGGATTTAAACTGAATTACTATGTGAAGATATTTGATTAACATCATGTTTTAATCAGGCAAAATCTGGATATATGATGCTGGATGTGAGACAGGCAAGGTATTTGGTAGAAAAGCCAGATAACTCCTATTTGTCTGTCTATCTTTCTATCTATCTATCCATCCATCTAAA